AAAGTGACGGTGATAATACCAGCGTTTTTTTTTTTTTTTTGCTCTGTAATTTCTTAGCAGAAAAATAAAGAATGTTATGTTTTTAATAACCAAGATAAAACTGAAAATTAGTGGTGGAAAAGTAACACATAATGAAAAAGAAAAAACATGTGAAAAAAGGAAGAGTAATATTTACTTGTTGACCGTCACCTATGTAGCAAGAAGTTCAAGGAGAAACATGCATCTTATGACAGCGAGACAAAAGGGTAGTCGTAATGCTCTGAAACTGCGAAGGCTGGGGAAGCAAAGGAGGAGGGTGGAACTGGTAGCCATGAAAAAAGTTCCAAACGTACGTAATCAAAGAAATTGCACAAAAAAGAGCGGCGGGGATCTTTCGACTACTCTTTTTCTATTGACAGTTTTCGCCGATATGGCTTTCCTGGGATTGGCCAGAAAATAAAGTTGCGAAGGAAGTGTATTGGAGTATTGAAGCCGAAGAGCTACGGGACCTTACGTTACAGGTAATCTTCATCCAGGTGATATACGTAAGAACAAAAAAAAAGAAAAAAACGAATTATTGGTTTCCACTATTTGAGAAAAGCAAAAAACTTCCTCAATATTTCTCGCATAAATGAGTAAATGGTTGCATGAAGGTTGGGATATTTATGTACACTCGCTACATCGAGCCTCCCGAATAAGCAACTTTTCAGGAAATAAGATACAACTTTCTGGACAATAGTTAAGATTAGCTTCCCGCCGCGGGCGACGATGACTAAATGACAGCGAAGAAGGAATTCAGAAAAGAAATATATAAATATTCGCTAATTTTCATAAACTATAACTTATAAATAATGATTTCTTATAAACAGCAATATCGATAATTATTAATATTTATTTAATTACTGAATGGTTAGAATTGTTCAAATTTTGTTGCTCACAATCAAACACCCAAATTTAATGTATGTCAATATAATTTATTCTTTTCTGTGAATAACAAATTTCCAAAAAACCCGCAAAATAACCTTACAGACATAGCAATAATGATGTCCTTACAAATACTAATTCTCAGTTAAATTTTAAACGAGAAAAGTGAGTTAACCACATGCAAAGACAACTTATCCCGCTTTGCACCCCCAAGATTTTTGAAAGCACTACTATCCTCATCCTAAGAAATAACTTTACAGACCTTAAGCACATGGTGAGACCCAAAAATGATTTTAAAAAAGCATGGTTTTTGTGTTAAATTAAGTTATTTACTCGAATAAAGTAACAAATCCAGTAAGAGGAGAAATCAGCCCCTATGCACATATCAGCAAGTATCTCGACCAAAGCCTCTAAAGTTAGTATAATTCAGCAACCAAGTTCTTTATGTTGTTACAGCGATTGAAATTAGAAAACTTTACACAGTAGGTGCCATTCAGCAGAAAATGTGGCCAACAGAATGCTACTAAAATAAAAGCAAGGCTCTCAGAATAAGACAGGTAAAAACACTCATTTGAACTCAAGCCAGCACTTTTTTTTGGTTTACAGTCTGCCGCACTGCTGTAATCCCGATCCCATCGCGACAAAGTTTTGATTAGAAATCAGAAAAGAACGCGTTTTTAAATAGTTACGCAGCTATAAGACTGACACATTTTCTGGGTAATTGTATCGGCGAATAAAAATTTGATCTTCTGTACACGACAATGGCCCAGTTGTTTTCAGCTGTCCAATTTTTTTGTTCTTATATTTTGCGAAACCACATTTTATAGTCTTAACGGTGTCAAAACTTCATGTAATAATATTGCCTAAGGCCGAACAATTGTCTTCTAAACTAACTTCTTTAGGTTGCTGCGGGGAACTAAAATTCGAGCACTTTAGAAATTGATTGCTGGAAATTCATAATAAGGATCATATTTGGTAAAGCAATTTAGTAATTGTCTTGAAATTCAGAACAGCTGCTCAACAAAAGATCTTACAGCCAATTAACACTTGATGAATTTTCAACTTTTACAGTTTTATCCGGAAGCATATGTGAAGCAGTAATTCTTTAGCGCTTTACTGTTGAGCTTAAAGCTCGTAAATGATAGCACGTTGGTGATAGCAAAAAACAATGAAAGTAATATTTGACAGTTGTTGGTGTTCCTCCACGATCGTTATTTTGAAGGACATTTTTATCAGTACCCCTTTGCCATTAGATTTTAAAACGTGATAAAATCGCAAACGCCAGAAAGGTTAAAGACGAATTGTGGATAGTGAAATAGAAGGGTGAACACTAACGAAATAGAACGACCAGAGAACGAAACAGTTTTTAGAAATTCTTCTCTTTTCTCTTATAACTACTGCAGTTTGACTGCAACATCAGAGTGGTTTTTTTCTTATTTTCAGTTACATTTTAATGTAATAGGGCTTTTTTTTTTCCTCTTGTAAATTGAAGGGATAAATAAAATTGCGATATCCTGCTAAAAAAATGTCATGATCTATCTATAAAAGTGTTCGTTGATGTAACCCATTCAAGTTCGCCGGAAATACTATTATTACCTTCTTTGCAAACACAATTAATTATAAATCTGTTGTCGCGGAAGGGAACATAAACTAGTTTACCAAAAAACGTTTTAATTTTATGAAAGCAAAAACAAAATCGAGTGCACCTTTTCTAACGAATTTGTCGGCAGGCATATTTTCGGGTCATTTTTTTAAATTACTGTAAAAACCAGATTATTGCAGTGGCGAAAATTGAACAATTCTTGAACCTTTCCAGTATCCGGTACTGAATTTTAAATATTTTTACATCAGGTATTACAGTTAAATTGTTTCTTCCAAGAATTATCTTTGTTTCGCTTCTTTTTATAGCTACCAATACTTCTCGAAGTTTATCTGTAATAGGGTTCCGTTGTTTTCATAATTAAGTGAAAAGTGTCAATGGGTTTTCTTTTTAGTTAAAGGAGTTACAGTTATTTCAAAAGTTACGAAAAGAAAAATGTTTAATTTGCCATTTTTAAAAAATTTCTGACTACTTTGCAGACCGCCAACTTTTACAAGCTGAGCTGGCCAAATAATTTGCGTAAGTAAAATAATGGCTTTAGTATATCTGTTTAATGCTGACAGAACTTCTCCCTTACGAACTATAAATCAAAAAAGTTTTCAAATTTTTTTACTTTTTTGGTTTAAAAAGTGTTGATTCATTATTTTCTTGGTAGGAGACGCTGCTGGAAAATCTTTATTAACTGCTCATAAAACTGGTAGTACAACTCAGTTATAGCCTTCCACTTTGGAATCTAGTGGTTGTCGTGACATAGCAAAGTTTCTAATTCTTCAATTTACATTCTAAAGAAAGTTCAAAAATGATTAAACATTTATTTGGAAACTTTAAACACACACCATCTATAGGCCTTCTTGCTTCCAAATTGCCGCCAAAGATCCTACTAAAAAGAAGTACGCGTCTGCAGGAACAATCCCAACTGATTGGAAATGAAGCCTATTAGAGGCATAACTCCAGAATGCTTTCAAGAATTCAGGATTTCCACTCTAGAAAAATCCTATAGCCGTTAAAAACCTCTGAGAACGAACAACTGAGCTATACAAGACTAGCTAAGAGTAAACTATCATTTTTTGACTTGAATGTTACTTCCTCCGACTACTTCTAGTTTCTCCTAGGAGTCTGCAGCAGCTCCGA